AATTTAAGTAGGCCAGAACCATGTAATAAACATCGTTTCTTTCTTGACTTCATAAACGCAATAGTGAAAATTATCATGCTCTCAGTAATGATTAGCTTTATAAAACAGTCTCCAAGTTCTAGTGAGAAACCGTGACCAATGAAGTTCAACCCTATTAAGTGTTAGGTAATTACACACTTAAGAGGAAAGATAAAGTTTCTCAGTGCGTTGTAATGATTGAAGTTAGACATTAACACCAATAAATGCCGGCTCAGTTGTCTAGAGCATATATGTCCGCACGGGAGGCCGAATATGCTGGGTTCGATACCGGCGTAGAAGGTAGTGATTGCGCACTGTTAATGCGTCCCCTAGTCGGCCGAAGTGGCCATCCAGTGATTCTAGGTTTTTAATCCTGGTCTAACGTGATGAGTTCAATGAAACTCTACAATCTCCACAAACTTTTAGTTAAAATTACTAACCTAACGAAAGCTGTGTCTGAAGTTCTTTGTTAACTATCTGTCACTGTTACACTCTTCACTTTTTCTTAGTCTATATAATTTACTATTTTGATTTTGAAGATTTTATAAAAATTAATCTATTCACAAATTATTATTCAAGAATATGGCATGATTTAATAATTTGTGAATTTTATAAAACTTTCAGCTGTACATACAGGTTAAATTTTGAAATATCACTGAATCATATCATAAATGGTAATGTGACAAAAAACTAAAGGTACACAGTTCAACTGCATGACTTATCATCTCATTGTTTATTATCAAACAAATGACCAAATAAAACATTTAAACATTCAGTAGTGAGTGAATAAACAAAACACTGCATTGAATTTCAAATGAATAGATATCGAAGGAAATTGTCGGTTTAATTAAATAGTTCTCAATTACAGGATGAAGACTGTTTTTTTTTTCAATACAAACTGATATTCACTAAAAAAACAACAACAGAATTACACTACACTAATAACTTTGAGGGGAGCAGTTAGGATTAAGAGACTTCTTTTCTTTTTTTCCAAAAAGTTTATAGTTTAATGAATGACATCAAGTATTTTACAATATAAACTAACTAAAATTCTATCAATTTATGGTTTCTAAACTACTTAGAATTGATAAGAACAAACACAATATCTTCCATCCAATTACATAGTAAATATTAGGAGAGTGATTCATTTAACTTATATGAAATAACTTCACTCGATACATATTGTCTAATACAAGCAGTTGGTATAATGATACAATCCATAGTGAAGATTATTTGTACAGCTAATAAGTAATGTGCTATGCTACATCACATTTAAATCCTAATCAATATTACAATGAATATTCTTAATTATTTTATTAGTTATAACTTTTGCTTCGAATAAATAAATAAAGAGGATAGACAAATGTTTTCAATGTTAAAAATGATTTTTCTAAATCTTATATTTGTATGCATACCGAAGAGCTATTCTAAAACAGTTTTATTTCGTAATAGTATTATTCTGAAGTATATGATATGTAGTTGATACAACACTATCTAAACATAAAATTCTTGTCAACAATTCATAACTTGTAACAAACCAAGATGTTCAGAACAAAGAGAATAACTGATTTAGTTAAAGAAATTATAATTTACTAACTAACAAACTGTACACAGCTTATCTTTCAACTTCCATTTACAAAACAAGTAGATGTTTGCTTGTCTTCTTTTATATGTTTTCTATTCTCCAAAACACTTTGTTGTACTTGTAACAGTGTACAAATAAGTCTCATATGTAAACAGTTCATTAAATGTTCAATATCTAACAATCACTTCGTCTAATTAACTGGAACAAATAAGTCAAGTATATACTCATCAGTTTCTAGTATTTGTACATTCACATTTCAATGCTCTTATAAACATTCTATCAAATCGTCTGAACTAATTTATATTTTTCCAAAAAAAACAAACGTAAACGAAAATATTGTCCCTTCTAGATTCATCTTCGACCATTCAGCATTGAATGTTTACAAGCAAGTCATAAGAGTTTAACATCAATAATTGTCAACTTTATCAAATCAAACCAGTGAAACGTCATCCTTATTCTGTTGTTGTGTAAAATAAAAGAAACTAACAAAAAAAAATCTGGTAAAAACATTGTTTTCACTACACTATTTAAACAAATGATAGGAATTTTTATCAACATTTTAACCATTTTCAGTGTATACCAGTTAATATACTATACAGTGTGCATATATGTACTGCAACATACAACTTTAGCAGTTTATTCGAGGCGAAAAGAATAATTCTTTTTTTTCTGTAAAATAACAATAAAACAATTGTTCATAATGTCATCTTTCATAATGAACATTTTTCAGCACAAATTTTCATTGACTAGATTGTTCGATTTATGACTCATCCTTTAAATAAATAAGTGAATTCGATTTTGTCAATGATAATGTAACTTGAATGGTTCTTTTTTGTTTAGCCTACATATATAAAATATTGCAAATAATACCATTGTACAGCTACCGAAATATCATTTGCATTTACACAAACGATGTATGTTTTTGTTCGATAAGCGGGAGAGGAGGGTTGAATTTAGTTTTCAAATAATAGGACTTGTTTACATGATCGATTTTACCTCTCTATATTTTATGTCGGTTGTTGTTTGGTTACGTCAAAAGAAATTCCTAATATTTCAATGAAATATAAATTGAGATTTGATGTATACTAAAGTTTATCATTGATATTATTATGTAACTTACTTGTGAACAATTTGGCAACTTCACTCATTAAAGTTACTAATTTATAAAGGATTTTGAAATGATAACGTTATATACCGGTCAAAGTATCTTTTGTAAAAAAAACATTTTTTTCAAAAGCAAAAGTAAGCTACCATTAAATTATTACGTAATAATGAAAAGATATTTCAACCAATGACTAGAAAGCTTGTTTAAATAAAAAGTCTTTTCCTAAAAGCGGTAGGTCTCGATATACACATAGGAAGAAAAAAGATCCTTCGATACAACACAACATACAACTACAAAATCACACTTGACGGAGAAGCTTCGGAAGATGTGGAAACCTTTACAAATCAGGACAGCATCATTGAACAGCAAAGTGGAAATGATGCATATGTGAAGGCATGGATTGGCAAAGTAAGGGCAGCATATCTACAATTGAAGAACATCAGAAATTCAAAACAACTATCAACCAACACCAAAGTCACGAATTTCTCAGTATGGATGTAGAGACATTAATGTTACATGGTGCGGAAACTTGGAAAACCCAGGAAGCTATTATTCACAAGATACAGATAATTATTAACTGCTGTCTACGCAAAATACTCCTCATCCTTTGACCGGACACCATCAGCAATGACCTACTGTGGGAAAGAACAAACCAGATTCCAGCTAAGTAAGAAATCAGGAAGTGCTGGAAATTGATAGGACTTACTTTCAGGAAAGTACCCAACTGAGTCACAATACGATCCGTCAGCTGGAATCCTCACGGCCAAAGAAAAAGAGGAAGACCGAAAAAAACAATTAACTGTGTTCACTGTAATCTTGAAGTTATTTTTTCCTATTCAAATTGTTCTACAATGTATCATATATGATCAAACTACATTCATTGTTAATTAAATAATTGTTATATATAAGTTGAAAAATAATCATTATCAGTTAAAATTTCAATCACAGTTGGCTAACCAATAACCTGAATATGGTTACAAAAATATAATCGAATTTCATGATCGACATTATCATAAAGAAACATAACTACCATTTTGTGAAATATGTATTTTGAAGACGAGTCCTAAGGTTGATATTGAAAACATGACCAGTAAGAGTAGAGGATATTCTTAGGTTCATTCATAAGTGTCTTAGGAGCATTGATCGTATATTTTAGGAGCATAGGGTAAGCGATACTACTGTTAGGTTAAGTGTGTTAAGTAGGGATGGCAAATCAGTAGATCAAGTAGTGAACCTTAATCAGTCAAGGTGGTTGGGACATGTGGTACATATGCCTAAACATCGACTACCTCGATCCGCGATGTTGTCTGATGGTCAAACCAAAACAAGGCGCAAATCCACTAAGAAAAAGTCACTGAAAACTGAACTGAGTCATGTTGGTAGATGTAGACTAACTGGCTGGGGTCCACGGGACAATATTAACCGGTGGTTAGAGACCTTGAATGACATGATTCAATATCGTTTGCGATGGCATAGATGCATCCATTCTTTGTCTTCTTTCAAATTCTAATCTTCTGAATTCCTCATCACCTTTATCTATTTCTCTTTTTAAATTTATTTCATTTGATTATACTTGGTGAACAATTTCTTTGAACCCCAATCTTCTCCGTTACAGATAATACTTCCACTAACTTTACTACTTTGGGATTTGAATTGACAAATCAATCTCTGCGTGCTAAGGCAGTATTGTAAATTGAACTGATGTACGCTCATAAGAAGTCCTATGTTGTAGCTGGCTGACTGACCGATATTAAAAAAATATTACACTTTATGTTATATGAAATACTCTTATGAATAAATTTATTCATGCATTAACCATACAAAAATGTAACCTTTCCTTCCTTTTTTTACGCTCATGATTTTCTGTTAAACATCAATGAGCATGTATTTTGTCCATTATATGAATTCCAAAACACAAATCTACATTTTTCGTAATAAAATGTCACACTATTATTAAGCTATAAATACATCAAAATTAATCATGTAAACGGCATAATTTAGATTCAGTAAAATGAAACAAATGTACTGATTACATTGCAGAGTTATTTTTATTCATTTTTGAAACGATGAATCGATCAATGTTAGACCACCATTAGAAACCTGGAAGCACTGGACGGCCGTTTCGTCCTGGTATTTTCATTCATTGGAAGAATGTTCTAATTCAAAAATGATATAACTAACCACGATGTAGTCGACTGAAAAATTCCTTTTTTTAGAAATGATAAACATTAAGCAATATGGAAAAAAAGACTGTGAAACGTAGTAGCACATTATGTATAGTATTTAACTTACATTTAAATAGTTCGCTTTAATTTTCAAATTATTTTCAAGATAATTCATCATAAAATAATTCAATTGATGATATTGACTCATAATATCAGGAAAGTCAATAAAAAATCGTGAACACATATACTTTTCCATTAATGCTACATCTATCATTTCAGATGGTTTATAACCTTCAACTAATAATTTACAATATTTTAATAAACCGCCACCATATATCTCTTCTGGTCGATGCGTTACAATAGTATGATCAGTTAAATGTGTCAATGCTTCTAGAAAACTACCAGCAACTGATTGAGCAACAACAATAGGATAGAAATTCTCATTCATTTGTTGTAAATAATTTTTTGATGAATCATAAAATGTCAATAAACTATCAAGTGCAATATGAAAACTATCCACTGTAAATTCAAATTGACGATGCATACGATCAATAAATTTTAAATCAATAATTTTTTCAGTCCATTCATTTAAAGTATGATAACCAATCGAGAATGAACACCATGAATCGGAAGTTTTACATGTTGGTTTAAATACACGAATCATTTTTTGAATATATTGTTTAATGATTAAGTCATTATAGGAATTTATCATGGAATTGGATTTTTTCTGATTAAATTCACTACTTTTGTACTGTCCCGTGTTATGTTGATTGGAACTATTAAATGGTCTTGAACATATTGGACAAAATAATGGCAATACGAATGGATAATTATTAAAACAAAATGAATGCAAATTACAGAAAGAATGCTGTGATCGACAAAAATCTTTAGTACATTTTATAGTCTGTTTATCATCTGGTATGTAGCATTCATTAGTTTTAGGCAACTTCTGCTCAGATTGATTCTTTGTGATAGCATTAGGATAAGGAAAATTATTTGATTGATTTTCATGTAGTGGTTGACGATTTTCTAGTGATTCATTTGTGGAAATGTTTGAAATAAATTGTTCAGCCTTGTCAATATTATGCATTGTATCTTTACGATTTAAATTTCCTAAATTTTCCTTGTTTAAATTAAACGATCCTTCAGATTTATTCAATGTGCAACATGAACAATATGTACAATAACATGAAGTTGGTGAAATTTGTGTTGTTTGTGTTGATGATATATTAAATGGAAGTGTATGATTATAACAGTATTCACAATTGTTTGTTAAATTTGATAAATTGTTTAAATTAATTGTATCTGTTAAAATATTTGCAATACTTGAAAACACTACTGATTTAATTTTTGTACAACTTGTAGAATTGCATAAATCAACATAAAATATCAATTCTAGTTCATGAAACTTTTGTTCATTTTGTAAACCTTAAAAAGGATTTTTAATAAAATTAATACAGAATTCAAACAATGAGAAAAATAATGATATTTAAAAAGTATAAAAATTGAATTTTAAATTTTGGTAGCTGTAAAAGAAAGAAACCTATTTTTAACAGGGTCAGAGTTGTGATGATTTTAAATCATGAACCGACTAAAGTCAGACATGTTGGTTGTTTGTTCTCTAATCAGTGGTATTGTGATCGTAATTTTTTCATCCATGACTAAACAGCGCGGGTCCAATTTCCATGTACAAAGTCGTAAATGCTCACTATCAGTAAGAATTCTCAGATGAGCACAAAACGGATATCCAGTGCTTTCTGCTTTTTAATGCTAATCTGGTTGGGGTTAACTGGAGGTGTAAAACTGTCTACCATAAAATCATTTTAACATTATTTCTACTTGTAAATGAGATATAATTTTTAGGCCTAATAAATCAATCATAAAGTGGTATTGAATGGATCTCATATTGTGCTCAATAACTATTTCAGCCCAACATGTTGCTTGTATGTGACTGACGAGAAAGCACGAAATGGTACGATCTCACAAAATATGTCTTCTCATTTCTCTGTTCTAATAATTGAGTTTATAAATCTGCATCTGGTTGTTCCATTAAACTAAACATTCGACTTTAGTATTTTTCTTTTAATTACTTTAGAAACTAATAGATTTGGCTTAATTATAATTCTGAATTTTGGATTATACTGCTATTAATTGATAGTTAAAATTATATGTGATAAATCTCTGTCAATTACTGAACTCATTAACCGGATACAATTATATTGCACATTTTAATGAAACATGTGATATATTGTAATGCAAATGTTAATTATTTTATTCCATCAAATTCATGAATCATTCAGTGCTAGACCTGCATTAAAAACCTGAAAGCATAGGACAACTTTTTCGATTTAGTATGGGACTCATCAAAATTACTCATTCACGATCCACGCTCACTAACAAGTGGACTGAGTCAGATCGGTAGGTGTCGGCTACCTGCTTGGAGCCCGCGAAATGATATTAATCGATGGTTAGAGACCCTAAATGACATGGCTCAAAACCGCTCGCAATCTCGCATGTGTATTCATTCTTTGAGTTTTCTCAAATCATAACCTTCAGAGTTCCTCATCACCATTGTCCTTCTCTTGTTAAGTTTATTTCACTATATTCTACTTCTTGAATAATATCTATGAACCCTAAAAATTACGATTACTGTTAATACTTTTACTGCCTCTACTAATATGGGATTTGAATTGATATTTACATCTCTGTGCTAATGTGGTTGCTGTTGATTGATCGATTGATTGATCTGATAATGATATTGTGTGACTTCATCCATTTTTACACCCGACAGAGTTAAACACCACGGTTTCTCATTAGAACTCGGAGAATTTCTGCACTAAGCTAGTGACTAGTGAGCACACTTTAGGAGTTTCATTATAAAGTTGTGAAGGTGGTTGATTTTCATTGAATTGATGATCGATTCATGATCTCTTGCAGTTCTACTGAGAAGCATGGAACAATCGATTTCACTCTTCCTAGGTGTGAGGCAGTAACTCAGTTAATATAATGGATGAGGTCGCGTAATATGGTGAATAAGTTGAAGTTAAACATCAACATCAGGGGATGCTTGCTCAGTAGTCAAGAGGTTAAGTGTTCGTACTGTAGGCCGAAGGTCTTGAGTTCGATTTTTGCCTTCAGGTTCATGGACGCGCACTTCTAATGAGTCCCATACTAGGGTGAAACAGCTTTTCAGTAAATTCAGGCTTTCAATACGGATTTAACATTGATCGATTAATGATTTCAACGAGACTCAAAGATCTTCACTTTTTTTGTTATGAAGATTATTACTTTTCAGACTAAAGTATATATATTAATTAATTTAAGTCTCATCAAAATTTGTGTTAAATATGTCTAGCTGAACTCTTTTTTATTTCCCAAACAAATATAAAATAATTACATTGTGTAAAACAAATAATCTGTGTCTATAACCACGTGCAAATAATTGAAATCTAAACTAATGATAATATGATTACTGAAATTCATTGTTATTATTAAAAAAGGTGGTCATTTCATACGTTGTTAGCTATTGTATACTTCTTAACACAATGATTATCAGTTGTGTCATTTCTAAAATTATAAAATTGATGGGCCATAGGTTAGAGCTATGTAAAGCGGACAAGAATGAGAATTTGTTCATCTAAAACAGGACCAGATGGTAGTATTACAATTAAATCCTTTTTTTTAATATAGTGTTGTGGAGTTTATTGAGTTTTATTCAAATTACAGACCGACATATGTAAGACAACATTAGGATGCTAGCATCAGATTTTTAACGATAATTATCCACTACCCTAAGGACATGAGTCAAACATAGAGCATTAAGACTTGCGCAGGAATGCCTCAAATCTAGATTATCTATTCATTATTCAATGGTGTTAATTTCTAACACCAATCAATCTACACTCCTGAGTGAATGACTTCTAATGACTTTGTTCGGTAACTTCCTCACACTTGATACAGTTTAGATCCATTAGTCATGGCTTCTTGATATAGCTCTAAAAATTTCCTCTTCAAACTCATCACTAATTAGTACAAAACAGTTTTCATCGAGGGATCGTGAAGATGGTGAATTAATTCAAATTAAATGCCAACATCATCTAATTTAAAAGGTTAAGCGTTCGAACACGAGACCGAAGGTTTCGGGTTTTATTTACGCTTGTGGGGTTGTGGATGCACATTTCTTAGGAATTTCATACTACGAAAAAACTACTATCCATCTTCTTTAGGTTTTCGTTAGTCATCTAACATAAATCAACACATGATATCTTTGATAAACCATGGTTTTTGAATATGATTCACATCTCACAAATAACCATTTATAAGCATTTATAAGCATATTTTTGCTAGAAAAAAACTATAGTTAACAAAATAACGGCAAAACACAACTTTTGAAAACAAAGCACATCTTAACGCCTTTTTAAAACTTACCAATAATAACAGAACTTGCAACTCCACCTTTTAAGTGTATTTCTTTAATCGGTACTGATTCTTCCAGTAGTCTATCACGTATTGTTCTAATTAGTTTCTTCAACTGTATACGAATAATTGGCAGTTGACACGGTTGTTGTGATGTTGGCGACATTGAAGTATGTGAAACGGTATTTTGATGAGAATGTAAACAGCAATTATTTATAGTATTTTCTATGCCAATTTTATTGGTTTCATTATTGGAAGAACAAACCGGAATCGATGTTAATAACTTATCTGACTCTGATACTCGTTCTGTAGTTGGAATGACTGAAGAGGTTACTGCATCATCATGATCACCGATTTTATTATCATGAACATTAAGTGAATTAGATTTAGAAGAACAATCAAAGGGTGGATGATTTGAACTTTTTGTACATGTTCGTTTCATAAGATCATAAACTACTGGATATTCTGTACAGAAACATGAGCATGGTTTATTGAACAATATTGGTGATGATGGGTTTCTTTTTGTTGATTTAACAATGTTTGTACCTAGAAAAGTTTGAAATATCGGTTTTGGCGCTATACTTACGGATGAATTCATTATCTCATTTAAAAGTTTCACTTGTTCAAATGTTAAAATATGATAACGATTTGAAGTACATGAAGGATTTAATGTATTGAAATTAACATTCATTGGTACATCGGATAAAGAAGGTCCACAATCTTTGCTACGTTTAAATCTTCCATAATCAGAACGTTTGTAAAATGTTCTGTTTACAGTTGTAGTAGAACTACTACTACTATTAGTATAAGTAGTATTCATAGTCATAGTAGTAGTAGTAGTAGCAGCAGCAGCAGGTGAACGATACAATGATAATTTACCATTTCCTCTATTTGTCTCATTCTCTTCATTACCATAAAAATAATTTAATGTAGGCTGATTATGTGTTCCACTATTCATATAATTAAATGGTTTCCGTTTTTTATGAAATTTATTTTGAGTAAAATTTAATAAATATTTTGTTTGTTTGTTTCGATAATTTGTCGTGATTTTCGGCGATTTCATGCTTAAATCATAATCAACATTTTCTTGTATACTATACATTGTAGGAAATAATTCTAGTTTTGTTTTTAATTTACGTTCAACAACATTGTAATTAATAATAGCAGTATTATTGGATGCATGAAAATAATTAATTAAATTTTGATTAAGACCAACAATATGCTTTGAATGTTTCAATGAACAATCTGACATTTTATTATTTGAATAAATTAATGATGATGATGATGATGGCGATGATGGTAAGTGAGATAGATTGGTTTGTAATTTGAAATCATTTTTCAAATCTTTTTTCATCATGAAGTACACTTCACTTTTTGAAACAAAATTTTAACATTTAAATTTGATGAATTTTTACAACTATTTTTTTATATATATTAGCCTGGTGTTTGTTGTATGAAATTATAAATTTGTTCTTGCAGTAAGACATTTAATTTTTTTTCGATAAAGATTCAATAGATTTCTCATTAGGCAATAAGTGGAATCTTTGGGAAAATTTCCAATGGACAAATAGAAAAAAGACGATTTGTTAGGATAATAATAATATTAATAAAAGAAAAACTATGTGTGTGTGGAATTGTTCACTTCGGATAAATAAAATCAAATTGACTTAACACTTATGATGCGAAACATTCCATTTCTTCTAATTTTATTCACATAAAGGAAAATGATTGCTCAAATGTACTTTATTTGACAGTACATATTTTAACTCAATACTAACATTTTTCCCAATCAATTTTTCCTGTTTTTATCAATGATTCGTGGGATTTTTGCCATATAACCTTGACCCGTGAAATGTGATTGGTTTAGAGAAATGATCTCTATCATCTGTTTGGAATTATTTAACTATACATAGATTGTTATTCTTATTGGTTCTCTGTTATTTTATTTGAAAATATCGTGGTGGGTGGAAAATAAAATTCTATAAAACTTAATTAAAACATATTTGAGAACATGGAAATAGTTATTTTCCAGAGAATAATTCTAAAGTTTTGATAGGATTTTTCTGAAAAAAAGATAAATAGATAATTTTTGTTGGTTAAATTTCTATTAATTAAAGATTAGAAATTTAAACAAACCTTTGATCAGAAATTTCTATTGTCTATATGTATCTATCTTATAATCACCATTTCAATGATTTTAAAAATATTATATCATTTATTCTTAGGTCATATTTCGTCTATGATTATGGCTAATAAAAAAGTAAAATATGCTGATTTCTTTCCAAAAACTAAGGACTCGTCATGTGCATTGAAAAATAAACTACTTGGTAACTGGATTCAGTATGTTATATTTAACGCATTAGATAGTGGATTCCAATATCACTGAGTATAATAACACATTTCAAAGTGAAGAATTCCACAGAGTGAAAAACGTAGCGCGGTAAATGTTTCACTCTCTATTATAAATAAAGTAATAAACCTGAGGCTTATTTTTCAAACCCTAAGAAAGTTATATTAGAAGACTGTAATCCTAAGAAAAATAATAAATTACTAACAAATTGATAGACCATACTTTCTTCTTACATTGAATTTAGTTTTTATTCTTTTTATATTATTAGTAAGGATCCAAGATTGATCAAAAATTGAATTTTGAATATCAACTATCGCATAAGTTATATCCTGATCGATAAATATTTGAAGATCATAACCAATAAACAGATAAATGCATTCAAACGCTGAATGAATAATGTGTTAGTGTTTAAGGTGAAATAAAGTGATTTCTAGTTTAAATGTATCTATAAATGTTAGAATGTTGGTATATTAAGCTGAAAAATTCTATATTCAGTGAAATATGCATTCTAGATTTGGCGCTATTTAAAATCGATTTATTCTAGATTTCGTTTTGGTGATAAATAACTTGAACCAGAGTAATGGTTAATTCCTATATAAAATTCATAACATAATCATTATTGATTTATTCACACAAACTCTAAATTTATTTATTACTTTAAACATTTAACAGGGATAATTGTCTATTTTGATTAAACAAGTAACAGTAAACTCACTGTAGAAAATAACAGCACTGTATACAAATGTATATTTGTACGATAAGATAACTGAACAATAACTATCAGCACTACTACCATCTTTAACTGATAAAAAAAGGAGATTTTGTAATGATGTAAAATAATTACTCAATAGTCAATGTTGAAATAACTTTAAACTCTAATTTCCAGTTGTCATGACTACTTCATAAGTAAATAAAGAAACTCTTCATTATCTTAAACTAGAATAGAAAAAGGTAATCCACAATTCATAACTAAACGATTACATATTAGATTTTTTCATTTAAGGTGGAAATATTAAACAAAATGTAAAAGAGTAGCTAAATGTTATGAATTCGAATCTCATTTAAGAATTTTAAGGCGAAGCCATCAGAGAACTGTTACATCTTAGTATGAGAGCTCGTAACAGCTTGAACCTTTAACTTTTACAGTGAGCATATAACCTGTAGACTACAGAACGAGCACTGCACAGTTTGTATGGTTGATTTGAATCAATTTGAGATATCATACAGACTGTGTTGAATGTTGGGTTTAAACATGTTAATCACTGAACTTCAGTCAGTGGTTTCGAGTTTAGTCTCTTGTTACGAAATCCAGAAATCTTTAACTCGATTCCCTGTTAGTTTGTAACTGTGTGCTAAATAGCAGTTTAATAATAAGAATTAAATTAAGAAGTAAACAACTCTCGTAAGCCATATACATACACTTATTTAAAATTATTGTTCAAAGTTCAATTAATAACTACTCGGCTTGAAATAAATAAAAAACAAAAGCAGTTATCGATCATTTATTCGTAAATATTAGTTGTACATTATTCCCTTCTTCCATGAAATAAAGTAAATTATTCGTTAAGTTTGTCAAAATTTTAAATTAATAATTAATTTTCATAAATGTATATATATATATATATATATATATATATATATATTTAAAATAGGTTATATTTCATTTGAGTCTTATTAACTGAATATATCCACATATTACTATATGTGTTATCGGTGTTACTCAAATTAATTTATGGTTTTTTTCACAAATTAATAGCGGAAGAAAAAAGGTATGCATAAATATCAATATAGAATTTTCATAGTTGAAATCATGAACCAATCTAAAGCTAGAACAACATGAGAGACATGAAAGCACTGGACAGTTTTCTCATTCTCGTGTTGGACTCCTCAGCCTTGTACATCCACCAACCACACACACTAATATCAAACCTTTGTTCGTCACGTACATAGACGCTTGACCTCCAGATCAGTTAGTCGAGTTGTGGATACGCGCTGCTGAAGAGTCCTGTATTAGGACGAAAAAGCTTTTTAGTGTTTCTGGGTTTCTGATGTTGGTTTAGCTTTAGATTAGTTCGTCACTTTAATTATGAATATAACATAAATCTCCACAAATCCGCCGCATTAACAACGAATTTGTAGATAGCTATAGATTAATTTAAGTCGTGACTGTTAGGCTTCACTATGAACATACATAAAATAATTTACTCAATTAATGGAAAAAATTAAAAAAAACATTAAGTAATGATCATCATTTACGCAAGTTGGACACTGAAAAATTTAAGAAAATGAATATATATTGAGAGAATAAAAGTGATTTGTAAATTTTAAATACCTAATAAATAAGAGATGAAAGGATGAAAAGCATTTACAATAACAACAACAAAAAGCGTAAAGATTATTATGATGAGGAAATATTAATGATAAGAAGAATATATTATTTATCAAACAGTACAAATAGGGGAAATCAACATTTTCAAATGAAAATAAAAACTTTTCTTCAGTGAATTTTTCTTCTCATTATACATTGTTTTAAGTATTGAAACCATGAATCAATCATCGTTTTACCACCGTTAGAAAGAAACCTGGAAGAACCGGAACGTCATTTCGTCTCCGGGTTTGATCCCTGTGAATGACGGGTGTTGGGGATGTGCACTGTTCATGAGTCCCACAGCAAAACAACCATCCAGTATATTCAGGCTTCTGGTTGTGATCTAACAATGATTCATTTATAATTTCAATTTATCTTTCCTATCAAATTAGTTAACAACAAGTGGAACATATTGTATGATTAATATTTTTATGTTAATCAAACTAATTTCCAAATGTAATAGAAAAACATTTTCAAATAATACGTAAATATACACATCTATGTATATAGATAAATACATATATATCTATATATACATGGTTGATTCAATGAAACAAAAACAATGAATCGAAACTATGAATACCCATTTTTAATTCAATGTCAATAGAAAGCAACATCAAACATAAATATTAGTTTGAACAAAGATATATACATAAGTAAAAGATATTTTGTAAAACTTATTTACATTCATATGCGTTTTGTAAAGTAAAATATCACAAAATGAATCTTTAATTTTTCGTTGCATTTTTCTTGAAGAATGTCATATCTGTCTGATTAATATTACTTTCCATTAGTAGAATTTTAACTGTGTCATCCAAAATCTGTTACAAAAACATGATGAATAATCCATTGTATAAATGAAAAAAAAGGGAACATAATTCTAATTGGCAGACATCGTATTAATCTGAAAGATTTTTTAAAACTTTTGTATCTTTTGTATTCATTAAGATTCATTTTTGTAAATGTTAACATATTGTAACAGAAGGTCAACTGTAACCTCAGTAGCTCGATAGCTCAAAGTACGGAACCAAGTAACTTTGGGATGGCATCGACCAAGGAGAATCAATTTATCAAACCTTCTAGGCAACATTCAGCTGACGAGGATCAAGTAAAACAAAAAACAAGCCAGGCAAGATTTCCTACCGACTGTCTTCAACTACCTAACATCTCACTATAGTACATGCGATAATGTGTCACTTAGACTAATGTCCTATAACTAATAATTTGATCAGTAGAATTCGATAAAAACTTATAGCGTAAGTAAAAATTACGAAATCACTATTAAATGACATATTCATCGTAAATGTTTCGTATCATTCATTTCAAAAAAAATATTCATAACAGTCTAATCAGTTTATGAACTTTTTTCAAAAACTTCACTTCCTACCGAAATCTCACAACAAAACACAGTCCCGTGTAGGCAGTTACCTACCGAATACTACTGGTGAGGTCAAGCAACAGATTAGATCGATCAAAGTTAGACATTAACACTGCTGGACGCCGGCCCAGTCATTTAGAGGTTAAGCGTTCCCGAATGAGACTGAAGGACCTGGTTTCGACCCCTATGAGATAGAGTTGTAGATGAGCACTGCTAATGAGTCCCATATTAGGACGAAACGACCATCCAGTGCTTCAAGAT